GGTTATAGTGCGCATCTACTTTCAAAAGAAGTTCTCGTTATAACGCATAGTGTAAATTGGGGTGGTGATCTCGCCAATGTTAAAATACAAACAACATTTTTGCACCTCAGAGCGGTTTTGGTGCATATTTTGGAATCTTTGATTGTGTTAAAGGAACCAATTGAGAGAATTACGATAATTTTAATGAAGTGACCCTTGATGCTACTAAATTAATACCAAACAGTTTGAGAATTAGTTTGGGTGAATGAGCTTAAGGAGAGCGATGTCCAGTGCGCGAAAGGGCAGTTAATATCAGGATACACGGAACGACCTTTATCTGATAATGAAAAAAACAAAAACAAGTCTTGAAGCCATGTATTTCACTGCAAGTTTAAGAGATGTTGGTGCAAAACTTTAATACCTTCAGCGCTGTATAATTTGAAACTAATTTGTTGAGAAAAAGGGAAAGTAGTTTGCTAAATAAAACCTAACTTTAGTGTACTGAGGTATTCCACCACATTCAAGAACAAGCCATGTGGATGGAGCCAGGTACTGAATATCAGACGGATTTGATATGACTCAATTGAGAAAAAAACTTGAAACAATTCAACTTAAAACAATCTTGAAAACAATTCAACTAAAATAAAGATTGAAAAAATTTAACTAAAAAAAAACAAATTCTGTTAGAGAATTTATGCTAAAATCTTCGTCTGAGCTTCCCTGACGAAGGATGAAAAGGAAATTAACAAAAAAGAACTTAAGCCAGGTTCTTTCGCAAAGAACTTTAAAATTACCAACGTTACATGGTCACATGCGCACATCTTATCCTATCAGGAACAATGTTTCAGCACTCTCAGAGGCATCCTAGTCAACTAAACCAGGGAACTGACTAAAGATGTTTATGAAACTTGGTCAAGGCTAATGGTGGTGACAAAACAGATAAACAGCCCATTGTAAGTAATTTCTCAATCAATAACATACAAAGGAAATCTATCAAGCCCAACGAGCTAGGCATGACCTTCACCACCATTGCTTCCTTCGCCTTTTGTTATTATCACTATACAAAGACGGTATTTGCATACTTTCATAAGAACTGTCAGAGATTATCAAGTTATCAAAGCGGACATCCTTTGCTCATCAATCTGGGGTGTCAACTCCTTTGGTGGTGTAATTGATCTCTTACATAAGATGTCACCGATTAAAAAAAACAAAAAAAAAAACAACAAAAAACACCAATAAATCAACCAGGACTGGCAGATGTAGACAACAACGGTTGTTCTCGCTTGTATGCGCAATCGCAATGTTGTTATCATCGTGTTGTTTTAGAAAATGTAAACAGGAAAAAAAAAGAAAGACTAGTATATTAAATAGTATCTTAGATAAAGAACTCACATATGCACATGCATGTTCTTGTTGGGAACAGCGCCATTTCCCGTCACCCTTGTTGTAACGTATTAAAAAATTACCATCAAGGCTGATTTTCTACTCTCTCTCACCAATATCAAGACAACTGGACGTGTGTAGCACCCAATTTCACTGCGCCCTCCTATGCACGCTAATGAAACATCAAAATAACTGTCTAAAGCTTTGATATAAACTGAAAAGCATAAAGGCTATCTTTTTTTCTAAAAAAAAAAAAAAAGACTCCCACGACAATTACAACAGCAGTGAAAAACAACTGCAATACTATCAACGGCAAACAACAACAACAACAACAACTATAACAGGAGTGACATATCCTGTACCACTAGCATATGAGTCAAAATAACTGCAAAGATATATGAATAAGAAAATATATCAGGGACGTAGTCCATCATGTATTGGAAACAACAAACTCGTAAAAGACCACAACATGTACACGTAGAAGCGTATTACAGACTGTTTCAGAGCAGATATCTTTCATTTAATTTTGGTCTTCAGACATAGTCTTCTAAGTGCTTATACTAATCTTTAATATTGACTGCTGCTTTAAATCGCTCGAAGTTAAATGTTACGTCCATGAAATAGTTCCCGAAACAAAGACAGAAATTCTGTGCTTCAATACTGAAACACACAGTCATTCTGAAACGCTTTTATTTTACCATTAACTCCCCAAAGTGTAGCGAAACTCAAGTGCTGCACTGAAAGGCCATTAAACAAACCTAATAACGACAAACCTACCTTACGTCGAACCTACTTTTTTCAAAATAGACCGTTCATTAATCCTTCTATAACATTACGAAATTGAAGTGATGGGCACCAATGTGATGCGATAGAACTTGCTTTGAAAAAAAAGGGGTTTTGATCGCACTTCCTTAGTCAAAATCCCATTTGCAAACATCTATCGATTGGGACTTTGATTTTTTTTCAACAAAGTCCGTAACTTTATAAAACTGTTATTGTTTTAACAAACCACTTTTATTATCAAAGTGTACAAACGGTTTTAACCTGCAATTTGAAGTCTGTATCGAAACAGCACCACTGTATATTTTGTACTATGGAAGAAACACAGTGCTCCGAAGTTCTAAAGGCATTTAGTGCTAATGCTTTAAGAGAAAAAGTCCAAAAATCAGTCGAAAAATTCACAGAAAGGTTTTCTAGGACACGAAATGACCTTAAAGACCTTAGACACAATTAACACAACCCTATGGGTAATTATCCGCCTAACCTCACTTCAATTTCAAATTAAGGCTCACATTCTCGTAAATGAGCGCGAGGTCTCCAATAACCGCTGTGCAAGACGCGACAGTGTGCAATTGTATAGCGATACACCGTCATTATTCCGCGTATTGTAGCGGGGCTTTATTGCCGTATTCACGAAGCCAGTTTCAATGCAATACAAGATGGTTGAGCTTATATAATGTCTGATCCTACTGTGTCCTAAGCTAAATGCTCCAGCGCATTTGTGACTGGTTTTTAGAGAATGAACCGAAGAATGGTTGACCAACGCAGTTTTTACGAAACAGGTTCCCAGCTGGGTCTTACAGAAATGCGGGTTTTTTTGGTCGAAAATTGATTACATTATACCTTGCAGACACCATGGTCCGTAGCAGTGCATTTGTTATTTATGTTCAGATTTGTGAGGGGGTGGATGTGGAAGCGATTTGTTAGGACAAATTTTCTGATATAACAACTTAAACACTATTTTTCAGAAATAGGTTCTATTGAAAACGGCGTAGGCACAAGTGTTTATGAAAAAATGAGCTTTTATTCCACGCAATAGTAATATATCAAATGTCGCAATTAGGCAAAAGCAAAGAGTTCAGATAATTGAAAGATGAAAAACAACACATACAAAGACCACCTACAGCGAATGTCATCTGTTATTGCTTTTACGTGACCCATTCAGAAAGAGATAAAACATGACATGCCAGTGGGTAAGTTTAACCCAAATTAGATCTAAGTGAAAACTGATCTATCGCACATTTAATTGATGTGACTGTAAAAGGGAAAACTTTGTCTCAAATAATTTTATATATGTCATGCGATATTTTGTTCCTACATCTACAAAAAATAAAATACATCGATTGTTAGCTTTTAGTTAAACAATTAATTCGTTTAACACGCCCCTTATGGCAAACGAAAAAGCAAGCCTGGGTGCAATATTTCACTCCGCTAAGTCAATTAAATAAAGAACAAAACGGTCTTCAGTGAGGGCAGGTGTGGTTGGAGGCAACTGGTTGCCGACCTCCGGACCGAAGGCGGACACTGATGATGATGATGCTGATATTGGCGATGATGATGTTATCTGTGTATGTTTGAGTCGAAAATCCGACAGTGTCATGGTTGAGGAATAAGTTAGTATATTTCCCCCCACAGAAACTCTTTACCCACGGTACATATACATGTACGCCAAGTTTCTTTATTTGGGTCGAAATGACAGTTATGCACACTACTTGTACTAGTACCATCTACGATATATCAGGGGAGCAGAATAATTATGTGCGATTCTCTTACAGCAGAGAATCGTGGTGTGAAATGTCCAGAGACATATCTGTGAATATCTTGTAAACAATCCATCTTTGATCCTGGTAGAGGTATACACACGCGCACATCTCTCTTCTCCATACCGGTGTGACAGGAATGGTAGTCCTAGGAGTGGAAGTCCGGGGTCCCATATGATAAGTACAAGTTAGGGTTAGTCGGGGTATTGGAGTTGGTATATGGGGCAAATTTAACCTGTACAAAGTACTGGGAGACGGACTACATATCCTAGATTCCTGTTTCACCGGCTGTCTCAGCGTCAGAGCAATAACCTTCAGCTACAAGTGAACATCAGAAAGGTTTTAGAAATCGTGCCTCAGGAACAAAATTAACAGCGGTTGGACGAGATTTTGGACTTAAAGGATCGTGTCTTCTTTCGTGTTGTGTAGCCTTAAGTGTCCTAATGTTGACAATGTTAACGGCTAGAGGGTCTCCAATTGTCCGTAATGGAGAGCGCTAATGTTCCAAGTGACCATGCTTGGCTCCAGGTGGGTCATGTTTTACGTGTTAGATAAGGTCACTGGCTGAGTTCTCGTCTGCTAAAACTGATCCAATACTAAGGTTTTCAATGGCACGGAAATTAATCGTGCAATATCGAAAAGACCGCCTGCCTGGGATTTCAATATCTACCGGTGAGTAAACCGCATCATTGCAATGAACATGCCAGCGCATATCCTAGTAGATTCTGTGAAGGCATTGTAAAATGAGCATCTAAATGAGTATTTTGAATAAAAGTACAGATGATCTAATTGGTTCAATATACCCAGTCTCAAGGTACAATTACTTTGTGCACGGCACAAAATTATCCTCGGTATTATTCTCTCCAAAAGCATATTTGAAATCAAGTATTTATTAGCACGTGCGTCGAAAAATAAATTTTCGCTTCATGCTCCAGTAATATTACACGCCTAACGTCATCGTTGGCGGGCATGGGGTTGGGGTGAGGGTTGGGGTGGGGTTGGCATTATGGAATGTCCATTTTTTAAAATGAATTGGAATTTTAAAATGCGCCAGGACCGCTCAATCGTTTCAAGGCTCAATAAAAGCTTACCTTTTTGTCCTGTTCTAGATGCGTGCTCAACCGTCGAGTAAATTTGATGTTGTGCCGCTTTGGCTGCGTTTAATTCATTCCATTTATTGGATCCCTACCTGTAGAAAATAAATATTGAGAATGATAATGATATTTCAGACAACAAAAGCAACAAAATGCATATACGTTTTAATTTATATCACAGGAATGCAGACGATCCATCCGTCCGATGAATGTATGTAACAAAAAAGTGACGCATTATTGCCGATCAAGGAGATGACATTGCATTTGAAATTAATTCACTATATAATATCCGCTATGTAATATCGTATGGCATGAAAAAAATACATTTTGCTGAAGTGCCCCCTTCAATGTTTTCCATGTATCTACTGTAATACCCTTTCGACTTATTTTCTCAAAATAATAATAATAATAATAATAATAATTACAAGAAGAAAAAGAAGAAGAAGAGGAAGAAAATAATCCGATATTGATGCCCTGTCCGTATACAGGTAGGTATCCATTCATATTCATCGCTTACACGAAATTTGAGGCATAAAATCGCATTGCCAAGCATACAAGATATGATTTGTAGACAATGTGCAATTTATATGCAGTTATAAGTTATCAGTCGTAAGAAAACAACAGTCGTAGAATTAAAACCGACAACAAAGGCAACAAACAATATGTGTTCGCCAGAGTGTGAATTGTCTAAAAATAGCTGCCTTAGTTATACAACTTATTAGGTAAATGTACTACTAATTCGGTCTACAGCTATCTAGACTTGCGTTCAAGTACGGGAATACCTCCCTAGTGAATACCCGCTATTCATAAACACCTAATTAACGATAAGATTTATTTATCTGGAAACATTAAGCAGAAGTGACTTTGATTGTCGAAGTGCGAACACGCTGTCTGCATGACATGTGAAGTGAATTACATCACAGCCTACACGTGCCTAAGAAAACTATTCTTAGAAATTCCTTTACTCGGAATCACTTAAGCGCCACTCAAACCAATAACCCTAGCTTTCCTTTCGTAAAGATATTCAGGGTACTTAAGACGAGAGGGTTTCCAATCAAACAGCAAGTCAAAGTGGCTTTGGTTGCAGAAGAACAAACCACCTTGAAATATCACATAGGAGAAAAAGTGAAATCACTCAGAACAAGTGAATTACGCTGTACATGCCGAGTGTACCACTTAAAAATCGCCACTCAAACAAATAACCTTGTCTTCTAGCATGTGTTAATAAATACATTTTTCCCAGGTTCGCTGAACTAGAGACCTCATTTGGCTACCGGTAAGTTCTCTTAGAGGAAGAACATTTTTCAGCGCGCCCATAATGAAGCATTGATGTCAGATCGGATAAGTTGTTTAACGGAATAAAACGGATGTGGCAATTAGACATTTTGTTTGTGATTCCAGCAACCGCAAAATAAGACACTAGACATTGCTACACAGCGGACTTTACGACACAAGCATGGTGCCAGCATCTGGTCAGTGACGTCACATACTCGGCAACTCCAAAGCAATTGCAGGTGCGACGCCATGGTAACGCAAGAAGAACACAAAACTGAGTATGCATAAAACACGTAAAAGAAAAAAAGATAATTTGAGCAAAAGGTGTCCGATGGAAAAAAAGGTTTAAATTGAAATGGACCTGATAAGACACGGCGTAAGATAGACGTCTGAGGTTATACCCAGTAGTATCGGTACCACCCGATAGACGGCACCGCAGTCGTCTTATCAAACGACGTAAGTGAAGTAATTACAAGTGAAGGGGTGTGTATATGTAACACTGGTATTACAATTATAAAAACCTCACGCTGGTGTTCTGTCAAAATACTTTGGCTTGTTTGTTCTCTGACCCGTCTTCAGTTCAATTCCAAACCACCCATTCCCCAATTTCTGGACAGATTATGCCCCATTAACGTAAAGTCGAAATATCACAGAACAATTTCAAAGGACGCCACCCCAAAACTTTTCTTTATATTCCAGACGGATCATGTCTCCTAAACGTAAGAAAAACTATCATTAGACAGTTCTGATTTATTCCGTCCTGGAATTGAGCTTCTTATCCTCATTTTCTGGACAGACTGTATATCATTATAGAGCGATAATGAATCATTATGGAGCTGCAAGGGTTTTAAGCATTTTTCCACATCAAATTTAATGATGAAATTTTTATCAGACAATCCAGGGATCCGGCTTATGAAGTTGAACAATTGGTCACTAGATGATTGTAGAGAGCCTAATAACTGACAACATCTACATATACCTGTATGTGTAATGTAGAATTGCCGTACGTAACATACGGAATGTTGTCGTTTGTTTTTCAGTTGATATCCACCTAAATCAAGTAAATTAAATTATGTGAATATACAAATAACGGTTATGCAAAACGCTAGTGTTCAGAGAGAGAGAGAGAGAGAGAGAGAGAGAGAGAGAGAGAGAGAGAGAGAGAGAGGCTTCAAGGCGCGTGACTTAATGACCATCCACGCAATGAATACCAAATTGCCAATCACCAATGCACCACGGAGTGTTTCGGAACTGCGCGACAATCTCCATCAGAACCGCCATCAATTACATGATTATTAGGTATTGTCCTTACCCGGGGAGAATTCCCGCCACTTAGCGGAGGAAATTGACTTCCCAATTGATGATCCATGGTTGCTTTGTCGTGCGTGAAATGAGAGTGAATTGTATCTGTAATGCACAGGAAGTGGTTTAAGTCAACTCTTAAGTTACAAATAACTGCCGTCACTCACGATAAGAATTATAAAATTAACAATTTACTCATTAAGTTAATGGGACGTAAGTGCGTAGCCAGGAGGTAATCCCGGTTGTTTTACTATAGAAAACGTGCTTTATCGAAGAGAATGGACTGCATGCCCAAAGGACGTTGTGTCTCATTGCAAACTAGTGATTAAACAACGACCATAACAATGTCTTGTAAAAGTACACGCCAACACACACTCACACGCATACCCTCTCATACACGTACGCACACACACAAACACACACACACACAAACATACTCAACCCCCCCGAGTCCACACACACGACGGTGTTTAAAAAAACTTTCAAAAACTGATAACTGATCTCGCTTATGTCACAAAAAAATCCTAGAACCATCAACATCACATCTAAAGGTGCGTTCTCATGTACATAGATGATAGCTAGGCCTCTATCGAGGAAGCCCTATTCTGCGTGTCATATAGACAAGATGACCACAGACAGGAAAATGAATCAGCCTATTTTCGTAAGCCAGTCACTTGCGTGTTCAGCAAAGGAAAAGTAACATAGATGTGACAATTGATGTTTGACGCAAATTAAGTCGTGAGTTTCATCTACATATTTATTTGTCTAAAAGTGCACCATTGTTGATGAAAACATACATCTCCACCCTTTGCCATGAGACATATTTCGCGTGACATATGGTGTGACGCGAAAACACAAACGTGAACAGTGCTCAATCACTACACTTAAGACCCCATTCCCATACTTAGATCGGTCTAACAGGAACGGCCCATCTCCCAAGGTTTTCTCGCTAAATTGCTTTCAGCTTAAGGGGCTTAGATGTCTGACACACTGACTGAAGCTGCTTAGCGATAGTTAATTATCCCCTAGCAGTTTCTGTAGGCATGACAGACATCTAAGCCGCTTATATTGATTGCAATTTATCAATCGAGAATCTCTTGGAGATAGATCGACCCACAGTTAGTACGATAGGGTCTGGGAAAGGCCCCTATGCTAAGTACCCACAGAGATGAAAAGTTAACTAGAAAACACGACGCACGTCCAAATAAACCCCCTTAAGACTGGGTTCCCACAGATTTAGATCGATCCATCTGGATCGACCTAACTCCCTGGGGATTCACGCTAAATTGCTGTCAGCTTCCGGGAGCTGAGTGCGCACAAAAGTTAATTACCCCCTTACAGCTTTTAGTAGGCGGGACAGACATTTAAGCCGGTTAAGCTGACAGCAATCTAGTGAGACTCCCCACGGGGATAGATCGATCTAAATATATGTGGGAATGGTCTCATAGAGTCAGGCTGAAAACAATCTTGGTCAAAGCCATGTGAAAATGGATTTCGTGTCTACGCCATTATAAAAAAGTCGCAGTAGTCATCGTATTTTAATAACAGACAATGACTCTATTTTTAACTGTCTTGCGTGTTCGTTTTTTAACCTTACGTGCATTTAGCTAAATATGAATAAAACAATAAAACAGTGTTGAGAGATCTGAAAAACGATACACCATATATGAGATAAATCATTAATAGTGAAATATGCACAGCCGATTTTTATGGCGGGAATAATAGTGCTGTACAGGACATTAGCAACTACAAACGAGAGACAGAGAGAGAGAGAGAGAGAGAGAGAGAGAGAGAGAGAGAGAGAGAAATGGTGTACATGTATGTGTGTGTGTGTGTGAGAGAGAGATGGTGTTCATGTATGTGTGTGTGTGTGTGTGAGTGAGAGAGAGAGAGAGAGAGAGAGAGAGAGAGAGAGAGAGAGAGAGGCTTTCAAAAGACTGCGCATTCTTGTCAGAACCTTATCATGTACGCATTATTACGCTCACACGCGGAATATACGCATCGGTTTGAACATGATTTAAAACCACATGTACCGTAGACTACAGCAGACAGTTTTAATTTTCTGTCTACATTTTTCGAAATCGCGGACTTCACTTTCTCCAACAGTGGAGAGATCCTAAACACACCATTTCATATGAACTATTGAGCACAAACAACGTTATAACCTGTATCAAATGCAAGTAATTTTTGTGAAGTCAGAAAACAATGTTATTTACATGTATCAAGAAAAAAAGCTCACCTGCTGGAATAACTCCGAATAATCTTTCTACACTAAGCGTCCATCTTTGGCCTTATATGATATGAGAGCTTGACTAAAAACTCGATAAAGCAAAAAAAAAAAGTTCTCAAAACAAAGATCCTTCGTCTCTTTTTCTCATGTCGTGATGACACGCATGAGTTTTTAATTTTTTGACACTCGTTTCAATTTTAGCTGGCAGTCGAAATGTGTTGTACTCAGAGTTGGCAATCGCCACAGTTTCAATTATCGTCTGCTCTGGCAAACTGTCGTCTTTTCCAG